ACCCCTTCCCTTCCTTCTCTTCTTTTCTTTTCCATCCTTTCTCTCTCTCTCTCTCTCTCTCTCTCTCTCTCTCTCTCTCTCTCTCTTTCTTTCTTTCTTTCTTTCTTTCTTTCTTTCTTTCTTTCTTTCAGAATCTCCATGCTGATTTTCATAGTGGTTGAACTAATTTACATTCCCATCAACAATGCAAGGAGCTCAAATGCCCATCAACTGATGAATGGATAAAAAAGATGTAGTTTTTTTAAACAATGGATTACTACTCACCATAAAAAGAATGAGCTTGGGTTGGCCTGATAGCTCAGCAGATTAAAGTGCCTGCTTAGGCAGATGCAGGGACCAGGGTTCAATTCCTGGTGTGCTGTGCTGGCCCCGACCCCGGGGTGCACTGAGATGGTCATTGAGACTGAGCCTGGTGCTGCACGCCTGTAATCCCAGCACTTGGGAGGCTGAAAACAGGAGAATCACTATGGGTCCGATCTGTGTAGTGAGATGCTGTAGACCCTGTACTAGACACATTTTAAAAAATTGAAATTAAAAAAAGAAAAAGAAGAATGAGCTTGAAACATTTCTGGCTGAATGGATGGACATTGAGACCATATTCTTGAGTGAAATAAATTTCACACATGTGTAAATGTCATATTGTCTCTTTGGTATGAGAAACTGAAGCTATAAATAAGAACCAAAATGTATAATAGATATTGTAAAATAGGATGAAATTGATAAAAAGAAATCAATAGAAGTTATTCAAAAGGAAAGGGAAAGTGAGGATGGGGTGGGGGAAGGAAGGAAGGGAAAGGAAAAAATAAGAAAAATAGGATAAAATGGAAACAAAGCTTTGTATACAAGGAGGAAAGGGTGTGTTGTGTGTCTAAACCATGCCAATAAACTTAATTAAAAAATGAAAACCAAATGCAAGGAGGCCTCTGCATCCTCCCCAGTATTCCTTTTCCTTATTCTTGATGATAGCCATGTGAGTAACCTGAAGAGTGAATGAGTGAAGGAATGAATGAACTGAAGGAGAGAGGAGAGGAAACTGGAAGGTAGACTTCTGAGGGTGGGGAAGGAGATTGGGGTGAGGGAGGGGTCGGTGGGCCGAAAATGGTCAAAATACGATCAATCTATATATCACTTTTCCCGAATGAACCCCACCATTCTGCATTACTAATATATTAATTTTAAAAGTGAAGAATCAAGTTCAAAAAGATGCATGGATAGAAGGAACAGAAGAAGGGAGGGAGGGAGGAGAAAAGAAGGAAGATAAGTTTTAAATTGCATGCCACTCTGAGGAGCTTGATGAAGCCTCACGCTGCCCTCGCCCTTCCCGCCTGGAGCGTGGATCGCCCTTGCCCAGGTTACACGCGCTATGCAGGCTGTCGCCTTTCAGTCCTTTGTTAGCCGTCTCAGTCGTGGGTCAGTTAGCAAGGGATCACGGTGCTTGTGGTCGGGGAACCCTGGCATAGCAGACTTAAGGATATGTCACAGTGACTGTGTCAGGTTCCTGTCTCATCGCCCAGCCATTTTACCCTCTCATCATCATAAGAAGGGGGAATAAGATACAATAAGACATTCTGAGTGCATTATTTTAGTATAGTTTGTGTATTACAGTATATTGTTAGTGTTGTCCTATTTTATTAGTAGTTGTTCATTGTATTGTACACAATTTGTAAATTAAACTTTATGATAGATATAAACACAGAAGGAGAGAGATATACTACGTAGCCCGCAGTGCCTGGCATCCCAGCATCTGTGGTAAGAGGGCCACTGCAGGACTGGCAAGCCACGGAAGACCCTTCCTGATCAACTCTGACTTCCTGTCCAGCCTGGCTCTCCCCACTTCTCACATTGCATACTCCATCCAGTTGCATGACAAGGGTCCTTTGTGTCCTGCTTTTGTTCAGATCCTCAGTTGCTTCTCTTCCTGGCCAGCTCGTCCTTGTGACCTGCGGAGGAGGAACATCTTTCTTAGACATACCTTCCACCTGTGTTTTCCTTTATCGTAGCTGAAATCTCATTGCCCTGGAAAAGCCTCTCTTACCTGTCTTTACTTCCTCGGATTTGAGGTCATTGTAGTGGCACCATAATGTTTATATTGGTGTTTTTAAGGCCTTAATTGACATGGTTTTACTTCAACTCATTCTTGGTTGCCGTTTTGCCAGGATCTATAGTCCCTACTATAAAGGTAGATTCCCTCATTCTTAAAGAGAAGGATCTATTCCCTGCCTTTTCTGGCTGTAGTTATCTTGTAATATGTTAGATGCACGAGACATAATGTCATACAAAATTAATGGCTTTAGAGAAGAGAAGCCATATACTATAAATGATTATTCAAAGGGCCAGAGCTGAGTGGACTTGATCCTCATGATTCCTTTATGGATAATTTATATTTTTCCTAAGTCATGAATCCTAATTTTACATGCAAAATCTGCCCCTTTCCTACTGACAGATTTTTAAAACATAGAATGATGATTCTAATTTAAACTTTGACTTCTTCTAATGAAACATCAGCCTTAAAAGCAGCTTTTTGAGATACAGTCACATATCATACCCATTTCAGTGGCTTTAACTATGCAATTAAATGGTTTTTATTGTCTTCATAGATATGTGCTACCATATGGTGACATAGTCAGTTTAAAATGTTTTCATTATTTCAGAAAAAACTCTTGCCTTTAGCCATGTGCCTCTTTCCCTACTCTCTTACCACTAACACCAAGGTGCAGTCCTGGTTGCTTTCAGCCTGTGTGGGGAGGACCATTTGCGCCATTGAGAAGCCTGCTGAAAAGGTCATGAGACCGCAGTGCCAAAAACAGAATAGAGCCAATTAATTGAGAAAATGCCTCCTCTTGATAGTGAGGTACTGGACTGTTACAGTCCGCCAGGCTACGGCAGCCTTGCAGAGCTTACTGACGTGTTAATAGAGTGCCGTAACCACCAGGCTTAGTTGTCATTGGGTGACCACTTGGAAGAGATCAAGGCCTATTTAAAATGAGCACAGAAGAATGCTTGATTACCAAATAAAATTCCTAATGTAAATGAAAAACAAGAGAAATACTCACAATATGCAGGGGAAGAGGCCAAAGATACTGAGATGAAGAAAGAAGATACAGAGACACAGAGGGCCTGTCCAGGAGATGCAGTCTGTGTGTAGAGTGCCCAAAACAGGACAAAGCAAATGAAGCTGAAACAATAATTATGGAATGAATTGAAGAACATTTGTCAAAATTGAAGAATGAAATAGACTTGCAAATGAAGAAGGCTCACTTTAAAATTAGAAGAAAGCAAACACCTAGGCATATCAAGTGTCCAGACAGAGAAAGCAGGTTACTTATAAAGGGGCAAAAGTCAGACTGACCTCAGATTTTTCTCTTCCAGTCTTTTTTTTTTTTTTTTTAAATGTATTTGGTACAGGGTTTCACTATGCAGCTTGGACTCGTAGTGATCCTCCTGTGTCACCCTCCCCAGTGCTGGGATTACAGGTCTTCACCACCCTGTTGGTTTCCATGGCTGGCTCAGTGTGCCTGGGGGCGGGGCTGGCACAGCATGTGGTGCCCAGATCAAACCCCAGTCGCTGTGCTTGCCTAAGCAGGGCTTAGTCCGCTGAGCTGTCTCGTGGGTCCTCTCTTACAGTTCTAATGCCAGAGGACAATGGAACAACATTTACAGAGTTTTAAAGAAAATGATTTTGAATCAAGAGTTGGGTGCCCTGCCAAGTTAGTATTTGTGTATGAAGAGCATCAGAAGACATTCTCAGTACCAAGGAGTTAAGAAAGTATACTGACCAGGTATCTTCTCTGAAAATTTTGTTGAGTAATTTAGTGCAGCCAGCAGAAGGTAATAGGGAGACAGGTGTGTGGAAGAGTTAATGGTTAAAACCAGTGAAGAACATGAAGTAGAAATTGTTACATATAGGAAAGTAAACATAACTGTAAAATACATCTGTAGGCTGGCTCTGATATTTTCAATTTCTGTAGTTTTTTTTTTTTTTTTTTAAATTTTGTGTATTTGGTACAGGATCTCGCCACACAGCTTATAGTACCATTCCTGTTTCAGCCTCTCCAGCTCTGGGATTACAGGTGTGCGCCACCATGCCTGGTCTTGGTGGCCTGCTCAGTGCACCT